GACGACTGTTCATCTGGTAAGAAGGGTGGCTTCTCATTCTTCCCGATCCCATAGGCCTCTGCATCTAGGGTTGGGATTGCGTATTTTCCAGTGCTCGTGAGCATTGCACCCTTCGTGTGAGCATCTTTCACCTCAGTCAGAAAACTGGTAGGAATTCCAGTGCTCCTTCTGATTCTCCGGCCACATTCAAAGTTCTTATCTCCGTTTGTTGGGCAACTCTTAATATGATGACCAGGGACACCATAACGAAAACAGGTATAAGACGGAGGTGGTGGACCCAGAGGTTTCTTCACGGAACCGATTGGGTCGTATTCACGGCCACATTGCAACATCATCGCTTTGATTTTATCTTCCTCCGAAGCATTGGCTTCAGCCAGATTGGCAGTCTCTGTCAGCTGGGCCAGAGAAATAGATGCACAAGAGTCGACGGTTGCCTGTGTGGTTCCCATCGCTGGTTCAGTTCTACATAGAGCGTGTGTCTTCCTTGCCGACTTAACGCCTCCACTAGGAACTCTTCTGACAATCACAGAAGAGTATTTAGGAACTGGCGCACTGTCATCAGTATATTCTTCTTCAGTCTCTGCGTTGAAGATCCGCAGATCGCTATTGGCAGCCTTCAGCTTTTCTCTGCCCATAATCTGCTTCTTTAAATCGCAGAGGGAGATATGGAGCCCATCAAAGACGATCATGTCATAGCTGAGTTTAGAGGAAAATTTATAGTGCACACAGGGCATGGTGGCAGAGGATTCTGTGGGCTGGGCGCCGCTCTGAACCCTGGCGTTTGCAGCTGGCTCTCAAGTCCACCCCAGGACCTTGATTGAACTCCTGTCTTCAAAGATGCTGCCTCACAAGAGAGCTAGCTCGCTCGTGGGGTAGAGCGAGAGACTCTTATCTTGGGGTCCTGGGTTCTTGCCCCACACTGGGCACCAGCTGTAGCACCAGTTCTAAATGGTTTCAACAGTAAAAAACCCAGAGCCAGATATCACAGACGCTAAATGCCCGAAGTTCAGAGAGACCAAGAGGCAATCCACAGCCAACTCTCACCTACCTTTTCAATGCCTCACCGGAAAGGGGAGATCCCGTCTCTAGGAATCCTCAGACTGAATGAGCTGAGATCCTGTCTCCATCTGCCTTATATACCTGTCTCCACCTCCCCAGGGCTGGGATTAAGGGTGTGGCCCGACCCCACCCTGATCTTCCTGCTTCCTCCTCCCAAGTGCTGGGCTTACAGTTAGGTGCCAACAGTCCCTGGCCTCTGTGCTGAACTAGTGACTGGATCTGCCCTCTGATCTTCAGGCAAGCTTTTTTGATTGGGGCACAAACAAAATATCACCACACTCACCCCCAACTACAGAGGAGTTAGAGACCAGGCTACCCAAGACACACACACACACACACACACACACACACACACACACACACACACACACACACACACAAGAATTTACCATATCAAAGCTCTACTGCGAGGATACGCAAAAAGTAGAACTAAAGGCAGATGTGACCAATCAGGCACAATACCACTGTGGCAATGCTTTACAAAAAGTCAAACGGAAGAAGCAGCCGCATAGGATATAACGTTGACTACAGAACTTGCCGTGTGGATCAAATATCAAAAAGGAGTGGAAATAAGCAAAAATGAAAACACAAGCAAACAAAACAATACACTGGGGTCATGAGATGTTTAGGAGCTTTTTATTTTTATTTTTCCATCTCTCAAGCTGATAGGATCACGTTCCCTTGCCCTCTTTTAACACTGTTATTGTTAAAATAGACAGTATCAGATGCTAGGCTAGGTGCTGCCCTCAAGACACCCAGTCCAAGAAACTGGTCTCAAGGATATCCTGCCATCACTCCCAATACAGCTAACTCCAAGATCAGAGTTTCATAGAGTCAGTCTTTGCAGCCTGCTCTTTGGCTTTTTGAAGGGGAGGTTCAGACCTAGGAGAGTTTTCACGCTCCCCATCCACCTGCTCTCAGGGTCCTTTAGAAGGTTTGAAAACATTTTCTTTCTTGGCTATAGCAGACACGTCCCTTTTCCATTTGATGTTATCTCTGCGATTGTGACTCTCTCTGCATGGAAAGCTTTCCTGGATAGTTGCCGCCTCGATTTCTGTGTCTATGACTTTGTCCAGGAGCACAGTGTTCTCTGGGCTCCCTTGTGAAGGGTGAATTGCTGATATTAAGAGGTGAAAGTCTCTATGGAGACAAGTCTTCTCTGGTAGCTGAGGGTCTAGCCTGTGCCCCCACAGCATCCCCTCGGTAGTCCTTGTTGTACCACTGTGGGTAGGCATTTCCCCTCCCATTCCCGGGAGCGCTCTTTCTCAAAGTGGTCTCTAAGGTTGACGACGACGACGCTCTGCCCTTAATAGGTTTGGATGTCACAGGGAGTGGACCTTCTCTGAGGAGATCTTGAGCGTGAACGATAACGTCTGTGTGGAGGGGACCTTGACCTAGATCCATGACATCGTCGAGACCTGGACCCTGAACCGTGAGGACGGCTCTCGCCTCTGCCTCTCCTGGGGTACCGAGGTGATGGTGAAGAGAAGCCAGAGTGTGGGCGGCTGCAGGATCCAGAGGAAGATCTTGACCGTGTGGAGCCAGATCTTGACTTTGAGGAAGAAGCAAAGGGACTTCTGGAATCCGATGAACCAGTCCAGGGAGATTTAGACCTGGAAAAGGAGTGCCCTGGCTTCCTCTGAATCTTTTCACACCCTGACAACGCCTCAAGAAAGCCATTGGTGAACTCATCTAGCCTGGACTTCTTCTTCTCCTCTTCCCTCAGTCGTCGTTGCTCTCTATAGAATTCTTCCCTGGACAAAAGCCGTGTTGGTGTTGGAGGCATGGGGTTTGGGTGAGCAGTCTGCACTCCTGACGACCATACCAAAGGTTTCCATAGAGTGGCAGGAGCTGGTGGAAACCCTGGGCAAGGGACACTATATCCTGAAGGCGGGGGCTGCTCAGGAGGGAAGCCAGGAGAGAAGTGTGCGGGAGGGACACCTGGAGGAAGGGGCACAGAGACTGGAGTTGCTGCCAGGGATGGGCCTTGAACCCTCTGGGATCTTGGGCTGTGCTGTGGCCTGTGGCACTCTGTGCTCCTGTAACAACTTCCTTCCCCTCTTCTGACTGGCTGTGGTGGAGGAACCGGGTAGCCAAGCTCCCTGAAATGTCCCCAACCTGGTGGTCCACCACCTGCAGGAGTAGCAGCATTTTGGCTGACCGGACCAGTTGTGGGGATCCCCTGGCCCTGCAATGATGACTGTGCCAAGGGAGACGGAGTTGCAAGGACAGGCACCTCGTGACCCTTTTCCTCAGTAAGAGCAGCAGTTGCAACCCAGGAGGCTCCCTTGGAATGTTCTGGTTCCACCGCTGCGGCTGGCGATAATTGATCAGCCGAATCCCGCAAAGGGCCATCTGACTTTTCCAAATGGACTGGTACAGACACTGAGGCAGTCAAATCAGGTACCGGTGCTGGCACAGAGGATGCAGTTCCAGGCAAAGAGGGAGCCAAGGGGGGCGGACTTGAAGTTAACCAACATACGGAGGGAGCTGGGAGTGCTGAGGAAGATGTCACTGGGATCCGCAGAGGATCCTGCTGTCTCCCTACCCGAGTTCCCACCAGAGGCTGCCGGCTCCTCTGAATCAGCAGTCTCAGTGGTGGTATTGGGGGTGGGGGTGGAGGGAAGCGTTTGCTGTGAGCTCCTTTGGTATAGCCAGTTCCATTTTCGAAGTTATTAACAGCCTGTCTTAAACACTGGTTGGCAGTTAAAGCGTCCGGAGAAACATCGTTCTGACGACATGTTGGACACGTATGTTCATCTGATTCCAGGAGTGCTGTCCTAATGCATTCGTCACAGTAACTGTTTCCACAGCAGGGGATGATAGCAGCATCCACCATGATGTCCTTGCAGATGAGGCACAGGAGCTCCTCCGGAACAGGATTTTCTTCTTCTGGTGAAGATGATGATGAAGATGACGATGACGACAACGACGATGATGACGACGACTGTTCATCTGGTAAGAAGGGTGGCTTCTCATTCTTCCCGATCCCATAGGCCTCTGCATCTAGGGTTGGAACTGCGTATTTTCCAGTGCTCGTGAGCATTGCACCCTTCGTGTGAGCATCTTTCACCTCAGTCAGAAAACTGGTAGGAATTCCAGTGCTCCTTCTGATTCTCCGGCCACATTCAAAGTTCTTATCCCTGTTTGTTGGGCAACTCTTAATATGATGACCAGGGACACCACAACGAAAACAGGTATAAGACGGAGGTGGTGGACCCAGAGGTTTCTTCACGGAACCGATTGTTTCGTATTCACGGCCACATTGCAACATCATCGCTTTGATTTTATCTTCCTCCGAAGCATTGGCTT